GAGAGGGGAGGAACATCAAAGTTGCGAAAAAAGAACAGAAGGGTGATATACAGATGTAAAATAGACAGAAATAAAGGTAGAGAAAAAGTAGGGTTTATTTATTTATTTATATCAAATGGCAGGCATTTTGTTAGTTATCATTAGCCCTTTAGTTGACTTCAGGCTTCACAGAGGAGAGAAGGAACATCGAAATGGAAAAAGTTGAGGGGGGGGGGGAACAGAAGGGCATTTCAAAGATATAAAGAGACAGACACTAAGGTAGAAAAAAGGTGAGGTGAGTACTGCGGAAGTGGTCGAATATGGCATACAGTGGGATCACAGTAGTTTGAGGTCAGATATCACCTGCTAGTTTATGGTCATTATTTGCTGAACCACATAGAGGTAAGTCTATGGTGCACCCCCGCATAACATTTATAGTTACCTTGAAAAATAAAGTTTATTTGTGCACCTTGGCATTTAAGATTAGTTTACTACAAAACGGAGTCTTGACAACAACCCCCACCCCCTTCTGATCTTCATAGTGAAATTCCAGAGAGAGAGAGAGAGAGTAAGCAATTTCTTAACTCCGAACTTAATTTTAGGGAATCCGTTTGATGCATGATGAAAGGCGGTTTTTATTGGGTTTAAGGAATTACTGTTTTGAGTGTGGATATGATTTACTTAAAATCGAAATCCTAGAATAATTAGTAAAAGCGCTTGAAAATATTAAATGAATGGTTAAATGGTGGTTATTAAGTAGTCGTTATAGTGCATTAAAAATGATTATTTCTTTCAATCTACTGCTTTCAATGTTATCCGGTTACTTTTCTTCAATTTTAGCTAATCGAAAGTCTTCAATTGTGCCGTGATTTCCAAGCCGGAAAATGCCATCGAAACTCGGAATGCCGTTATGTTCACATAGCTGATAGTAAGTTAACTCCCATGTGTGTTTCTTGATGTGTTGCACAGCTGCGCCTAACATTCATTCACGTAGTGTAATGTAAATGTTCGTGAAGTTCCCGCACACCTCCCAGGAATTTATCCCCTAAGAAACTTGATCACCGCCTTACCAATTAAGCCCACTTAAAGTGCGATTGTACGCCGCCACACACTTACCAAAACTATTTCCCAATTCTTTTATTTTCCCTAACAGCGAAGGGACTTGAGGTGAATCAGGGCCGAGTTACAGTATGTCGAGATGCTGCAAAAGGTAGATGTTCACGTCAGCCGTGCAGATATTACCATATACCACTTCAAGCTATCTCTGTGAATAGATCTCACGCGCTAAATAGTGTTCTGAGCACTGCTGCAGCCTCTATGAATCATCTAACTTCCAGCGGGAATACTTCTTCAATTGTCAGTACATCTCCATGCACAACCGTCACACAAGCTCCAGCTCTATCCATTTCTAACTCCACTTCTTTGAATGGATCTTCGTTCAATCATTCAACGCTGATTTCTCAATCTCAATCACCTACCGGTCAAAGTACTGCGCCAGTAAAGTCAACTTCGACATAAAACATAAGGAGCTATCATCTTATGTCTTTTTGCGATTTTGACCAACAATTACTCTTAAATTTGTAATCTTTTGTATGTAAAAACTCCGAGAGTATTCGAAACCGTACTATTAGTTTAACAAGAAATAGACTTCTAGCATAATTGGATGAGCTATTCGGTGATTGGTGTTAATAAGCAAAAAATGATTTTTGTAGATCAAAGTGCGCATGCTATTATTAGTTCAATACGTAATAATGTAATTGGACTTTTTTTAAGGTAATGATGGAATATCTCCTTGAAAGCTCTCCCTAACCGTTTGTGTGGTTTAGCCAAACTCGGATAACAATCGAATGGATATGAGCAAATACCACTTACAAAAGAAAAATCATCTCATTTCGACGAACTCAGGTTATCAAACTGTCGCGTTTAGAGAATGTATCAAATGCTTACCTTATAAGGTTAATTAAGGTTAATTAAGAAATTATTTGTAGATTGCTACAATAATAAGCTTTGACCTAGGTTCATTAATCTCTTTGACAGGTTCTTCAAGTTCGTAAAGGCTCACAGGATGAGCTAAGCTACTGCAAAGCTAAAGAGAAAACAGATGTATGGGCTGTTTTATAGACAGGGAGATAGTAGTTATAAGACAATTGATTATTTGATAAACCAATGCAAGGACCTTGGATTGGCTGTTGGCTGGGTGGTATCTGTGTCTATAACCCAACTTACTTCCTACGCGACTGTGCGATGGACTTATCTCCACGTGGTACACCCTGGGCAATGTATACTCATACGGCAAAAAAGTCTATTAACCGGCAGTTGACTTCTGACCCCACTGTATGTCATACTCGACTACTTCCACATCACTCACGTCACCTTTTTCCTACCTTTGTGTCTGTCTCTTTTACATATTTGAAACAATCTTCTGTTCCCCNTTACCTATTCCCTACCTTAATGTCTGTCTGCCTCTTTTACATCTGTGAA